TAAAAAAATTAATGTGACCTTGACCTGACCTTCGCTACGCAACCCAAGGTCAAACTGATGTGATCAGTAAATACATCTTTTTAAACGCCACAACTTTTATCTGAAACATTTTTTTCTAAAATGCTTAGTTTTCGAGATATTTCACCGGTCCGGGACTTTTTGAACACCCTGTATGACTAATGAGTTGAAGAATTATCACCGTGACCGATTACATAAGGTAATTTATACGCGCGTTGCTCAAGCGTGAAGCTAATATATCGCACAGAAAAAAGATCTGGTGCATGTAACCAGAAATATTTTGTTGCGAACAACACAGTTGTGTTATCCTAAACCAAGAAAGAACATTTAAAAATTTATTTCTGGGATATAAGATTTATTCACAGAAATGAACTTTATTTCACAGTAATACGCTTTATATCCAACAAATTGTCAAGCATTTCTTCCCAGTGTAATTATTTTAGTGTGATAATAATATATGACTAATTATACTATATTTTCATGCATCAACTACGTTGTAACTGGGCATGATCTGATTGTGGCAAGCAGGAATCGGTTGAGGGACGATATTTACCATGGATACATTCTGATTGGAGCAACGAGTACCGTCACTGCTGCAACGCAAGTAACTCATCGGTCGCTCTATAGTTTCAGCAATCACGTGACTAGCTGTTGCGTATTTTACTACTGAATCTGATTGGCACAACCAGATTTACGTGTGGGCCAACCAAAACCGTTTCATCCGCGCGGTATTGCTAAAAAGAGCATCGAGAGACTACCTGTATGTCCTGACTGGTGATGAAGTTCGCCAGCGCCTTGGAGTATTCTCGTCCACGGTCGCTCAGGTCCGCATCGCCGCCTATCCTGCCGTCGAGATTCATCAGGCTCTCACCGTGCCTGGTTAAGTAAATCGTGCGTGGCACAATATGAATGTTCATAAGATAGTAAACTATTCTACTTTGTATATGGCCTTCGTGCTTATGGACCAGCACCTTCTCGCCGGTGTTGTATATTTTCATGAACGACAGGTCGCTCTCGTGGTTCTCGTCTAACGGCCGATACTTCTCCTGGTAGTGCTCGATTCGCAGCATGAAGTCCGCGAGCACCTCCTCCTTGTTCATGTTTGCGTAATCCGGACTGCTGACCTTCACCTGAACAATAGAGATCGCGCGTCAGCTTACACACGTTCCGCCCTCCGACCTTACGCGCGTCTCAGCTCGATTATCTCGAAAATTCGATCAATTGTCGCTATAGCTTTGACTGTTTCCAAAATACGCGTGACTTTGGCGAACGCGTACTTCCATAATGTTCTGCTCGACAATCTCCGGATCGTTGCACACCGACTCGACGAAGAAGAGTTTGAAGCCCATCTTGTGGACGACAATGTCGCGTATGAGTTGGCGTCTCTCCACGGTGGAGTTGGTGGCGTCGAAGACGGCGACTTCGCCGTCGCCGCTCTCCAGCCACTGGCAGACATCGTTCAGAGCGTCCATCGCGCACTGTGTGCGTATCGCCATGGCCTTTATATTATCGGGACGGAAGAATTCGTGGCATTGATAAGCCGTGGTGGCGTGTCGCCTATACTCGCCCAAGTTGAAGACCTTCGTGCTTATGCCGATCCAATTGAGATATCTGCACAGTTTTTTGGATATGTAGGTCTTGCCGCGTGCCGGCAAGCCGACCATCGCGATCACATGAGGCTTGTTCACGAAATTCGCTCGTTCACCTACAACAGGAAGAAACGAAGAGTGAGCGAAAGTGACGTTTAGGATCAATATCAGCGATCGGGAAAGCGCGTTATGTACGTGAAAATCATATGGAGACGGATTCTGCATTGAGAGGAAAACATTGGAAAATTTATTTCAAATACAAAGTTCATTTCTATGAAACAAAGTTTACTTCTACGAGACGCGGTTTATTTCTGCAAATAAACCTTATATCCCGCAAATAAATTTTCATGATATTATTTTCTCAGTGTACAGCGGCCGATCGAATACGCTCGAGAGGTTTCAATAAATGATCTTTCAATCGCCCAAGCGTATCGAGAAAAATCGAAAAAAGTATGAAACAAAATTCTTTTTCTTCTGGTCTGTCGGCTATTTTAATAAGCGTAAACGAGATAGATCAAACGCATTTCTGCAGGAAAAATATATTTGAAGAAAGAAAAATATATGTCAGGAAGGATATAAAGTTTTCTATGGAATAAACTTTATTTCTGTGAGCAAAAACTTACATCCCACAAGTAAATTTTCAAGTATCAGTGTATATTGGTTCTATTGCCAATCACGATAACTTTGAGTCTCTACTCGAAGTTTGAGTATCGCGTTAAGCCACATTCCACTAGAAGAGATCGAGCTTTTCATTACTTCACCGTAATTAATTGTATCGGCGTAGCCGGCGGGTGGTAACGCGGTGCGTGTTATTTTTACTCTTATCTACGATGCGTATCGCGTCTTATTGAGGACCTCTGTCCTCACCTCGCGCCGCAAACGGATGAAACCTCACGACGACTTCTAGATATCTTACGAAACCGAATCTAATTGGATAACTAATAAGCGACACTCCGTGAAAAACTGCTCGCCTCTCCGACAATTAACGCGCGCTCGTAACACCGATAATACTCTCGCATTAAAATTCACCCTCAAAGTTTCAAGCTCCTCCAGATGTCTCACACTTCGATAACATTCGAAATCTCGAATCAAGATATTTCGTAACGACGATAAGATACTCCGTGTTTCAAGAGCGAAGATGCTTCTGCTTATCTCTTTTTTTTTTGAAGAAAAAAACATTCTGACTTTTGGAGCAGCAGCTCTGAAGAGGAAGAAGAGAAAGGAAAATAATAGCTTTCCAAATGATCACGTTACGATGCAGTTAACCCTACAGTCGTCGCGCTACTTTTCGAACACGAGTCGACGCATGGGATTTTGAGAGACCCCAATATAAAAAATTATTTTATATCTTTTATGTTGAGAACTTAAATATTTTCTTTGTTTAATTAGGTTTTTAGGTTCATGTAAAATATAAAAGAAAAGACTATTTTGGATATAATATTCTCTTAAAGACTCCTCATGCGACGACTGTAAGGTTAATGAAGACAGCACCCCTGAGAAGAGCAGGTGATCAGCGTCTCATGAAGAAATCCACACCCGCGGCACGTTGACCGGAGACCATGAACTTCTCTCTCTGTTCGCACAGGCGAAGTAGCCCAGCACGTTCCCAGCACGTGTTCGTGCACGACAGAGTGCGCGCGACGGAAAAACAGATATATGTGCACACTCCGAGCGAGGGACAGAGACAGCGGTAGAGATAGAGAGTGTTCAAGGTGAGAGCGCGAAGCAAGTGAATCGGGACATTACCTCGTATCGGGAACGGCTTCGTTTGGATGGTATCCGACGTCGGCGGCGTGTAGTGCATCTCGATCTTGGGATCTGTCATCCTCGCGGCTCCTCCACTGTGAAATCACGGCGATTTAAAGCTCGACAGAGTGAAAGGGCAGACAGACGCATAGGCAGGCAGGCAGACAGAGGGTAAACAGCTGGAGGGAGAGTGAGAACGAGTGACAGAAGTGAACGCAACACTCGCACACGAACCTCGCGTCTCGTGTCGACGTACTGACGGCCGAAAGGACGAGCGGATACACGCGAGGCACCGAATACACGTCACCTCGGCTATCAGGTGGCGGAGTGAGGGAACCGCGCGGTTGGACGCCTGCCTGACTGGGTTAGGTCCGTGATAATCAAGCTGTCACACTGTCGCACGCGATCGTCACGCGTGATTTGTCGTTCGCAACAGCGTGCAGCAGCAGCAACCAGTCGCGCCCGCGATGTGCGCCAACGACGTGAATGTGGCTAAGCCAGTCGAACTCGAGTCGTGATTAGAAGCTGAGATTTAACCCTTTGGGGACCACTTTATGTATGATGGTTGGGACACATGATAGGGATCCCTAAAGGGTTAAAGCAGGTGATCGACGCGCTGATCTCGGCAAGTTTGAGTTGTTGATGCCGTGAGCCGCGTGATTACCTGATTAGGTGCGTTTCGCGCGTCCCTTTGACGAGGGTGAATTCACCAAAAGTTTCTCCTCCGAGTCACCAGGATTCTCCTGCTTTAGGACCTGAAGATGACCGGTCCTCGGGAAGAAAGGGAAACGCGAGCAACGTGACCGTACTTAGCTAGATATTCTTGCTTGTTTCTGTCTCTCTCTCTATTTTTATATTACGCAAACAGAAGTGCGACTCTCCGCGAAACGAACCTGTTGGCTTCCTCGCGACCGGCGCCAGCCGCCCTTCTCCTGCCTCTATCACTTTATTTATATCGCAGCCAAGGGGCTAGGATCCAATGTCAAGACCCTCAACGAGATGACGAAGATAGCTGCGGAACCGGTCGAATTAATCAAAGTCGCGACCAACCACCTCGGGACAGCATCCACGACGGAAAAACAGCCGTGAACTGAGGTTAACGCGTGCGCACGCGGCGGGTCTTTAACTCGCGGCATTCTGACGGAAAGGAGAACGCAAAAGTCGCTCGTCCCGTCTCTCTCCCTCGTTCCTCGCGCGGATCACGCGATTCGCCGTGACGTCACACCCCCCGTCTCTCCGCGATTACGCACATTACGCGCCGATTCGCGATACGCCAGGATCAAATATACAGCGAACTGACTTCGACTGTGCGAATTGGGAGGAGATAGAGACGACACTCGAGAAACGGGCGAATAGCACGCCGGCAGTGCTCGCCGAAGTCGATTGGCGCGCAAGTTCAAAACGAAACTTCCTCATCAACTAAAGTTTACTGGCTCTTGCACACAGGACGCGGTAATGGCTGCGTTCAACAGAGAAAGCTGCTTTACAACTATTGTATGCTCTTAAATTCAATCAAAATTAAGAACATATTCCAATCAGATTCACGAATTTTACAACAGTTGCAAAGCAGCTTTCTCTGCTGAACGCAGCCAATGCTTACCGCACGGCGGAAGTTCGTGCGACAGCCAATCAATATGCTGCTTTCCGTAATAACTTTCTAGCTCTTACGGAAAAACAACATATTGATTGGCTGTCGCGCGGACTTCCGCCGCGCGGCAAGCATTACCGCGTCCTGTGTGCAGGAGCCATAACCTTTTGCATTAGTTCAGCAGTGTGCAGTTACAAAAAACAGATCTTTAAATTAAGCCAGCGGCATACGATGCTTGTTTTCATGCTGGTTTGCTTGCTGAATGGAAATATTCTGTTTTGATTAGTGTATTTCTGAAGATAAATGGAAATGCATCAATCAAAATGAAATATTTCCATCTAGCAAGCAATCCAGCACGAAAACAAGCACCGTGTGCCGCTGGCTTTATATCGTGTAGAGATTTTCCTTGGTACCAACATTATTCCCTCCACTTTTTCGAGGAACTGTGGCCTAACCTCAGCGGCACACGGGCTTTGTTCTTTTATTCGCAACAGATAGAGCCGATGTTATTCTATCCTTGTTTAACATTCGATAAAATCGAAGGATAACATGACATTATCTGCATCTGTTGCGAATAAAAGAACGCAGTGTTAGTTTTCGTGCTAGATAAAAATACTCTGTTTTTATTGGTGCATTTTTATCTTATCTTCAGAAATGCACCAACCAGAACAGAGTATTTCCAACCAGCAAGCAATCCAAGGACCCTATTCCGTAATCACTTACCGACAATTGTCGGATCGGTAGACGTCGTAGCACAGTTTTTTTTATACCATAGAAAAGCTGCACAACAACGTCTACGGCTGATATTTCACGTGTCGTACGACAAGCTTTTTGGATACGTTCAATGGTTGACGAACAGAGAACCTAGAAATACTCTATTCGCCAACCAATAAACATTCCGAAAACATTCGTACGACACGTGAAATAGCACCCTACCGACAATTGTCGATAAGTAGTTACGGAATAGGGCCCCAGCATGAAAACAAACACCGCTGGCTTAATTTGTGACCTGCGTTCCGTAATTCGCAATATTTATCAAATGTAGTAGAGTGCCGATTGAACTGCCATGGCGCACATGACGTACAGATGTGTTCGAATCTATCCGGACGTGATCGGTAATTCTTTTAGAGAATGCTTTGGATTATTTTCAAGCAACATTTAGGAATAGAGTTTGGAAAATATTAATAGAAAAAAGGTAATTATCCAGTTTAACTTCCTCACCTCCGATTTCGATGAAAATAGGCTTAATCAACGCGTTTTTGCACAAGAAACAACTTTTTCCTTTGACAAAATTGTCGCTCTGCATCAAGTAGCAAGATATTAGCCAACAAAGTTGACGGCGCGTTAGGTTAGGAAATCTGTCATACCGACGATATGTAGCGTCATGTACATGTTTCGCGGCATCATGCGTGTGCTCCGTGCCACAGAAACAGTGCGCGAATTAGAAATGTACATGCATAAAATTATTATTGAAACAATTAGAAATGTACATGCATAAGTAAAAAATTATTATTGAAACATTAGTATTATTGAAACATTTACGTATGAACTGGGGGAGTTCAGGGAGCGAAGCCCTCGGTCAAGGAAGGTTCGGATAAACTAATATCTCGTTACTCAGTACAGAGCGACAATTTTGTCAGAAGAAAAAGTTGTTTCTCATGCAAAAACACGTCGATTAAGCCTATCGACGTTTTCATCAAAATCGGAGGTGAGGAAGCTAAACTAAATAATTACTGAGAAAAGATATTAGAAGAGGACATTGTGTTAAATGTTAATAAATATTCTCAAGGCTAAAAGTTCGGTGACATAATTACCAAAGAAAAAAACGGAGTGTAATACATGCATCACATGTGATATAATTGTGGGAATGTGGATGTATAAAATCCTTCACATACTATGCTTATTATAATATTTAATGCATATAAAAAGGTCATATTCAATATTGAGTTCAACAGCTAATTTTCTATCAAAACAAGGTGATTTGTCACGTTTATTTTGCGGTTTTCTAATAGTTATTTAGGCAAAAGAGGAGTATCCGGAACATTTCACAAGTGTAGAATAGGTTGTGTCACTTTAATGATATATCCTTTCATTTAGCCATGGTTTACAGAAATTTTGAGCATGGTTTTCTCGCTTCTAATGTCAATATGGTTGCAGTGACTGATCAGAAGCCTTAAAACGAAGTAATTAATAAGGAAATAGCAAATAGCTCATAAGACTTGAATATTTTGTTATGTAGAGAGATGTATACAGTATACCCAACGATAACAAAAACTAAAAAAATTAATTTTGTAGGTTCAATTATTCTTATGTAACTATTATCAAACGAGTCAGGTAAATAAATTCCTTGAAAACTTTATTTTCACTTTAGATGTGACATAGAGATTAATTTAATTAAAATTCTATATTTTCAATCATATTTCTCTAAAAATCGATTAATAGCATTTGCTGCAGGTTCTGCAAGCATGAGATGAAAAAAATGCTTTCCTGGCACTTCTTCGTAATAGACATCCTTGTTATGCTGTTGCATTATTTGTATGGCACTATGATAATATTCTTTTTTTTCTATATAAGGTGATTCGGTTCCTCTCAATATCAAATATGGGCACGTTATGAGCTTTGCAAAATCTTCCATTTGTTCCTTTGAAAAAATAGAATGAATAGGTATTATCCGTATTCTAGGATCTCTGCTCAAAACATACATCCCATCTTCCTTCTGACGAACTCCTCTAGTCATAAGTGTGTTGCATGCCGCATCATCTATTTGTTCAAGCCTTGCCAACCATTTTTTTTTCATCTCAACTTTTGAGTAACTAACTTGATTGTTCATGTTTTCTTCCAGCTTGACCAGTGAATTAATTGCATTTCCAAACGCATGAGCATAATAATGTGTATCCAAAACTGGAAATTTGAAGTAATCCAAAGCTATGACATATTGCAATTCTTTCGGGAACAATGCCGCATACCAATATGTTGTCATCGAGCTCAGAGAATGTGCCATTATTTTTATTTTCTCCCATTCAAAGTATTTCATGATACGTTTGATTAACAAAACATACACTATCTCAGTATAAATAGATCCTGGTGGCAACCATGATGACAGGCCATGACCGGGCAAGTCAATTGCTAAAACTGGTGTATTCTTTGCTATAAGAGGTGCTAGAAGATTGAATGATGCTGCATTATCCTGCCAGCCATGTATAGCCAAGATAGGCTGTTTGTTCTGAGACCCCCATAGTTGGCCTATAAAATGATTTATATCATATTGTGCTTATAGTTGTATCATGCTTATAGAGTACGATATTACTCACCAGTTACTTTACCCCATGGCACTGGAATTTCTACTTCACTAGTTAAATTTGCTTCTTCTGGTTTATTGTGCAATGTTCTCAATAATCTTGCACGTGAAATTATTCTTGCAGAAAATATTAATTGTCGAGTAAACATTTTGTTGATTACAAAATATTGACAGTATCGCCTCTGTAATAAAACAATTTTACGTTATTGCCTTGCTCTCTAAAGAAGCGAATTGAAATGTTCACGAGACGGAACTAAACCAAGGAAGATGCGGTCCAAACCCGAAAAACAAGCGAAATATTAAGTCAAAATCCACAAATCGTATGTAATATCGTTTTCAGCCTCCTTTGACAAATACGAAACTGACAAAAACTACGTCAGTCCGATTATATTATTAGAATTTGTACATACGCGATCATCTCGACGGCGCAAGTCACAGAGCAAAGATTTATTATCTTTAATGATATATATATATGTACATCTGATTGGTATCCCTACCAATTCGATAAAATCCCCACTTAGCACATTATGTGCTATTATCCCCACTTAGTACATATATATGAAATCTCAAATTTATTTACGTAAAATTACAATAGTATAGAGAGTTTATGTAAGCTAGGAGATTTATTCTAACATGTTCTAACACTCGAGAACAAAACGGTTCAAACACTTTCTCCAATGAAATTGCAGTGCTTCAAGTATAGTCAGAACTGCCGAAAATTGCTGACTTATGACCAATAGCTTATTGCAGAAGACCCGTTATCGTTGAATTTTTACAAGCTGAACATTTCTTGACCAATTGATCGGCTACGATCAAAACTGTTAATTTCTCTGATTAGTTCCAAAGTCTTATAAAGGGATCCTATATCAGTGTTGTTATATCTATAAATTTTTTTCGGGTATAAATATTGAATGTAACATGAATCAATAAAGTATGCAATTCGTTTATTTACAAATTTTTGAAAAATTGGTCAGAACCGATTTATTTACTTAGAAATGATTTTTATTATTCTCCAATGACATTTGGGATTTTTTTTATTGTGTAAGACAAATGCGTTTCAAAATTCCAAAAATAACAGACCTTTCTGTCGACGATCGTTTACATTTCTGTCCTTTCTAAAATATTCGGTGATAGAACATATGTGCGTCTATCTAACAGTACTATTATTAGCTAAAATAAAGCTAACGGTACACGGTGCTTGTTTTCAGGCTGGATTGCTTGGTGGATGGAAATATCTGTTTTGATTGGTGTATTTCCATTCATCTTCAAAATGCACCAATCAGCAAGCAATCCAGCATGAAAACAAGCATCATGTGCCGCTGGCTTTATTATAAGGGCCCTTGCAGAATGCCAGGCAACAGGCAATAGGAACAGGCAATAGCCAATAGGAATAGAAATAATTGAACAATCAGAATTTCTATTCTCTGTTCCTATTGCCTGTTGCCTAGCATTCTGCAAGGGCCCTAAGATCTCCACTACGAGTGGACGGCTTAGACCTGTCTTTTTTCGCTAACTGCTGAACTAGTGCAATAAGTTAAAGCGAGACACATATATGTTTTCTCACTTTAACTTATTACACTAGTGCAATAGTGCAGCGAAAAAGAACAAGCCTATTATCTCTGCAGTCGCTGTCCACTGATCGATTTCGAGAACGTCGACAAGGTAATAATCGATACTCGAACAATGGGATCATTCAATATCGATTATCCTGTATGTGATTTTTTGGGACATATTCTGGAATTATTTCCAGGGACTATAATATTTCATCTTTTAATCAGAGAATGAACAATCGTCGTAACTAATTAGCTGTAACATACCGAGCAGTAACGTTGGGGAATTCGCTTAGTAGACGTCTGAAGCCAGCTTTGAGTGTGTGTGAGAGAGAGAGAGAGAGAAAAGAGAGATCGATTATTCGCGCAAGCATCGACCGCAGTTTTTCGTCTGCACCTCCGGCGCGTGGCTCTCTTTACTCTCTGTCTCTCCGCAGGATTCAGCACGGTAGGTGAGTTACGCGAATTCTTCATTCCGTCACAGTTTTCATGTGTGTCTCGACACCGATTGCTTTGCGAATGATATTTCGGATCACCTCTCTTCCCTTTATGCGACAAAAGCGGACGTTTACAAAAACGCACTAACCTCAACTCGCGTCCTTTAAGACGAACTCCGCCACGGTCTTCTGGTCTCAACATTATGTAATTCCACCGGCTATATTTCGTTTATCAGAGTACGTAGCGGAGATTTTTGCCGGGAAATACCCGCCTGTGAATTGGCCGCGGGACTGCCGGGACGACCCAAGGTGGAAATTCCAAATTTAGGGGTGCGCGACCTAACCTCACTGTCGTACAACTTAACCTTCCCGCTTGCTTCGCGACACGGCACATATCAAAGGTCACTGTGTCGCTTGATCTCTGTGCAAGTGCTGTTAACACGCGGAAGAGAAATTCTCTGGGCATTAACGTGCGACTGTGAGGATCGTTGACACTCTCTGGGAAATTGCCGACGATTTTACCGCGTAGAGAACCAAGCGTTGCGTAACTTCGAGCGCTCAGATGCTATAATCTTCCTTGTGTCATCTGGACGAATCAGTCATTAGACAGATCAGGTTCGTTTCATTCGGATGTCTCCTGGACTCGATCTTTTTCTCCAGCACTCTAAATACATCTGCACACAGCCCACATAGCACGAATTACTGTTTGTCGACTGATAGTCGACTTTTTAAAGTCGACGTCTAGTCATATTTTTCTAGGATGACTTTTTGTCAACTATAATTATCGTCTATAAATTGACTTAGGACTTAGATCTATTAGTCGACCATTTCATAACATTGATTGAAAGTTAACTTATTATTAGTCGACATAAATTCTAAGTCGACTATTGGCTGAGTATAATCATTTGTCAGCTTTTAGTTGACTAAAAGTTGACATTCTCTGCCTTTAAAGTCGACTTTAGACTTTTACTGCCAACTAATAGTCGACTTGGTGCTGTTTGGAAGATGTTAAACAGTGAAAATTTGCTCACCAATTTTTATATTGATGACAATGATGCCTCTGTGATTTTTTATCGCAGAAAAATCGGTGCCACGTGCCCGATTAGCAGCTGCTAAAATATTGATAACGACACTCCTCGTGTGTTATCTACTAGATAAGTGGTCAGTGTTCTGTTTTAACAGACAATAACAAGAAACGTGCGAAAGCGAGCACCGCTTGTGCATATCTCAGCTCTACTCGCTAAAACGACTCTATCGCTTTGCTATTGCAAATAATTCTCTACTTCTTTGTTGTTTTCGCGGCGATAACTTGTTGACGCGCATGAGTGATGCAAGTCATTAAACGGCGATTGGTCGGACAATTTACGTTATTTTTCATCGATTTAATTGTCCTTTGACGTACTTCTGTTTTGACGTCGCGGGAGAGTATTTTTCCGAATGCGCGACGATTGTTCGAGTTATACAAGGTGTTTCATACTCTCCTCTGGGCATTTTGTGGGGACGTAGAACAGGTGAACATAAAAGTCCTACTTCTTTGTGATATTCGTAATAATTATCAAGATATTAATTGTAGAAAATTTGTGAATGATATGGTAAATGAGTGTGGAAGGAAATTTGTGAAGAATATGGTAAATGAGTTATAATAGCGACGACTACCATATCGTGTACTTATACTTTAGATCAAATTGAACAAAAAAGTCCTCTACCATTTTGCAAATAATCACATAGATTTTGAATTATTAATTAAAAATGATGAGTGCATTATCACGCAAAATCGTGCGATAATCTTCTTTAATTAATAATTAAAAATCTATGTGATTATTTGGAAAATGGTAGAGGACTTTTTTGTTCAATTTGATCTAAAGTATAAGTACACGACGGCAGTCGTCGCTACTATAACTCATTTACTATATTTTGCATGATCACTTATAAGTTTTCTACGATTAATATCTCGATAATTATTGCGAATATCGCAAAACGGTATAGGACTTTTATGTTCACCTCAACTTGTTCTACGTCTCCACAAAATGCCCGGAGGAGAGTGTGAGACACCCTGTATACTGATCGATATAAACGGTAGCACATACATACACAATCATGTAACTTTTTTTTTCTTAAGAACGAAGAGTGAGAAGTTTCACGTAAACTTGACGGCGAATAAAAAGTCTGTTTGTTTCTGAAGAAATTCTGAATAAGTGCACACTAATGCGATTTAGAATGAAAACCTGGGCAGAGGAAATCCTGGGGACGTTCTTAAAACGTAGAGACGTTTTCAGAATGTCTCAAGGATATCCCGCGGAGATCAGTACTGTTTGGGAAAATAATATTTCCCAAACAGAGTACTGATGATTTATTTCATTTTTACTTATTGTAATAGTTGTAACAGGGAAGTTCTTTCAAAACAAACAGATCCCATGTATCTTTTCGAACAATAGAAATATGAAACTTTTCACTTTTTACAATTTTACGTCAAGGAAAGAGGTACACGATCGATGTGCACGACAAACGGACGGTTCACCACGCAAATAATTTGAATTAAAATTAGAATTATATAGAGAAATTTGCTCGCTCATTTTTATATCCAAGTTCTTCCAAGCAGACTGCGAATGCAGTGACTTTCGTCACGGGTTCTTTCTTTGTTTCGCGAATATTTATTCCAACATTACAGTGCGCTATTCATCGACAAAGTTACATAAGTAGAATGTGCAATAATAATGTATAGCTTGTCGCCACGGCGTTTTGTCTTCGCACGAAGAGAATATTGCAGCGCCTCTAGGCCCCTATTCTTGAAATAGTTGCGTATACGTAAGTTTTACTGCGCAGGTTTAATCATATTATAAAATAGCTGCGCAATGAAAATTACATATACGCAAAAATTTCCAGAATAAGAGCCCTGCTCGCGAAATGACGTCATTTCGTTTTGTATTTGCCACCCGGATGAGAGAACGTCGTCTAAACGCATCTTCCCGACCGATAAGAGTGCGATTCAAGCAGAGACCGGACTTTTAACCTTCCCGATACCACGTCTCATCATTGGCCGGTGTCGATAGATGTGATAGGCAGTTTGCGCATGCATGAGGATCACGACGTCAAGAAAGTATCTGAGACAAGTAAAACAGGATACCGTTACTTGGGCTCTATTTTATCACGGAAAATTTTTTAAGAATTTATACAAAATGTAACATATTTTTATAAGATAAATATTTGCAAACATTTGTTTATTTGATTAATTACTAATAATCGAATTTATTGTCATTATTTTAACATATTAAACATAAAGTAATATATACTTTAGAGACCGCAAATGTTTCATCAAGTGCGTTTTAATGCATGTAATAATTATATCGCATGTACACATAGCTTCATGTAACTGTGTGTAGCTGATAAGGTTAACTACCCTTTACCTTTAGGCTGCCGGCATTTTTTCATTAAAAAGTTTCTTTTTCTCCAAAATTTTTCTATATAAGTAACATACACATGGCGTAGAATTTTAAGATTTATGCAGAACCACAAAAGTGGCTTTCCCAGTAGTCTAAAGGTCTAAAGGTCTAAAGGTCTAAAGGTTGAATATTTTCTTCTAGCCACGATGTCCGGAATTTTTTGACTACATTTCTTTTAACAACTCTTTTCTATCTATGCTTCTAAAAACATACTGATACATACAGGGTGTCCCGCGTAAGACGGACCAAAAGAAAAATATAAGTAGAACGCATCAAAGTGAACAAAAATTATATAGGCCATTTTTCAAACAATTTTTTTATCTAATATCTCGAAATTTTACGTGGTTTGAAAAATGACCTATACAATTTTTGTTCACTTTTATGTGTTCTACTTATATTTTTTTTTTGGTTCGTCTTACGCGGGACACCCTGTATACAATATCTTAAAAAGCTACATTTATCTATAACGTTACCTATGACTGTATCGCTTGTTTGCTGAGTGCATTCCACCAAAATTAACGCTCATGTACGTTACTGAATTTGTTATCATTTCGACGCGCATGCGCAAACTGCGTACGCATCTACCAACAATGGACTCTCCATTGGCGCTTCGTAACACGCATTCTCTCGTTCATTCATTCTCCGTCTTTCGTGGGTGAAACGTTTACGAGTTTGTCGTGTTTGGTACGCAACGCAGTTGCACAGCAGAAAACACGTTCTCTCGTTCCACGTTGAGAAGCAAAAGAAGAAACTGTGTTTTCTCCACGAGACTCACCCGTCGTTCTTTTTTCCTCCTCAGTGTACGAACTAAGACTTTCACGGGAATATCACATTTAAACATCTATTAAAGTCTCGTGCTTCTCCAGAATTTATAGTCGACCTTTCAAGAGCGAAGCACGCTAACGAGCGAATATTTCTTCTTTCAGGACACACGGAAAAAGCCACGGTAACGAAATGCATCCGACTCATGGCGCGTTATATGCCTTCCGCTTGTCCCTGAATCAGGTGAGATGTATTTAATGTTGGCTTCATAGCGGCGTTCATAAACACGTGGGGATTAGAGTGACTATCTCTCGCTAAACTAGGATTAAGATAAAAGTAGCAATCCCCTCTTTCGGACACACCTAATTTTGAATTCTTATTGTATTGCTCTTTTTAAATACGAATTTAAACTTTCAACCCAAAATATATATACATATATTGAATATACATTAATTCCAGAAGATTGGTACACGATTGTGATTAACTCTTCGTATACACATTTATTTTTTCAACTTTCGCATACACACTGGGTGGTTGTTATCCATGGCAATTTTTACAAATAGCTGTATCTTTTAAGATATTTATGCTAAAATTCTGAAAAAATTCATGGATTAACTTAAATGTTTATAGAAAGTATTTACATACTTTTGGTATTAAAATTTAAGAAATTTCATATTAAAAAAAAACTATATTTCGCAATTTAAAACAAAGTGAGTTTTTACAAAAAAATTTGTAACTTGTAATTTTTATTATTTTTGAGTAAAAACTTAGCATTTTATTATTAAAATGTTTATCTTTAAGGAAAAAATTTTCTCATAAATCATCTCTGGAAAAAGTATTTTGAATATCAAAGTTCCATTTCGTCTGGCAGAGGGCTGCCAGAAGCTAACTAACGCTTATTTTGCTAGCAGAGTGGAATCAAAGTTTGTTAAGACCCTAAATTACAATTAGATGGCGACACTAGTTCCATTTATTACGGTACTTAAAAGATACAGAGCTAAATTTTAGTTATGGGAGGTAACCACCCAGTATGTATACGAAGAGTTAATATGCACGTTCGTCTTCTTTAATTAATAACTGAACATTTGCATGATCTTGCAAAATACACGAAAAAAAAGGTTTGGTTGAATTAACCAAATATCTGATCGAATATGAATGATCCAGAAATTCCGATTGAAGTAACCCGAATTCTGTTTAAGTCAACCAAACATCTTGTTAATTTAAACAGAATTCGGGTTACTTCAATCGGAATTTCTGGAACGTTCATATTCGACCAGATACTTGGTTAATTCAACCAAACCTTTTTCTCCGTATAGTACAAGACTTTTTTGTTCAGTTCGATCTAATGTACAAGCAGACATCATTACCAAGCAGAGCTCACCTACCGTATCGCGCGTGATCACTCATTAATCTTCTTTGATGAATTACTGAAAATTTTATGTGATTGTGAGACAACAAAGAAATTTTTTGTTCGATAAGCTCCACTTGTACATCGCGACACTGCTAACAAATTGTCGGATATCCTGTACACATATATTCAGGATTAAGTAGGTCTGGGAATTGGTACTTTTAATCTTAACCGATAGAATTGCAAACAAGCAATTTATTACTGTATAATTTACCATCCAACAAAAACACTAATATTTCTTAGTTGTAGTGTAAATTTACATGTTTCGTATCACGTGGCTCACGTGGCTGATTCATGCTGAGCTCGTTCAGGCTCTTAAATTTTAACTCTGAAATCAAAATATAACGATGAAGTATTTTCATGATTATTACGAGACATTATTTTACGGATAAAATGAAGCTTAATAATACGACATCGTAGTTCAACATGATTGCACGCGATACAGATAAATTGTGTAAAATTATAAAGAGGGACATATTAATCAAAGTTTGGTAGAAGTTATCCTTGATCTTGAATTTGTGCCTCCATTTCTGTTGGATACAACCGATATAAATAACTCCTCTCTTCTTTCCTATTCGCTTTAAACTTTTTTTTGTGTAATCCAATACATTTACCGCGATATTAATAATTACCCGTCGCCATCTAGTAGGCAGAACTTATCGATTCCTTCTCTGCACGAGTGTTTAGAATTTATAAATATTTCCTGGCTCTGCGATGTAAGCTATTTGCGTGACTCAGTCCAACATATTATAGTTGTCCAAACTATATATATTATACAAACAGAGATGCGCAAATCGTTGAACGTAAATATGTAGACCTATAAGTGTGAGAAGGACGTAATACATACGTGAGATTATTGGTCTGTTCTTTTCAGCTGCACTGCTGAACTGGTGCAATAAGTTAAAGTGAGACAAGTATATATTTTCTCACTCTAACTTATTGCAGTTCAGCAGTGCAACTGAAAAAAACAGACCATATGACAACAAAAGGAGCGATGTAGGAAGACAGAGGGGGCTAAAAATATTCCCAGAGAGTATTATCGAGACACTCCCCTGATGCAATTGTTTGCGCTTGCAGGTAGCCGCTCCAACTTTCTACCGCAGGACTGCCGTGGACCGCAGCGCGACCAGATCTGCAATTTTCCTCGCGACCCTCGGCTTGTCCATGAGCATTTTCTCGTTGAAGCAGATGCAGTCCTCGTCGGGCCGTCGTCTGCAGCGCGTTTAGAGATCGCGATTGCGACCGCAATTATACGAGCGACAAACAAAATCACTTCAGCTCGGTCAAAATTCGACAAATCCCTCGGCCATCCGCACAATATATCTTGCGCGACAATGTCATCCTAAACTACGCTGTAGTTTCGAATGTCAGCGACAATGCCGACGAGATTCCGAGGAGAAACAATTTAGCATAAGAGACAGTAAGCAATATGATATCTTGAATTTGGCGATTCCAGGAGAGCAAAGTGCAGTTCTGTGTTTAGGAATATCGCATGGAAGAAGCGTGTGTGCTCTTCTCCTGACGCGAATGGCGGATTCTCGGATGTTCCCGGGGTTCATCGTGTCCCCGATTTGTAGGCGCGTGCACAAGACTTCACGCTTTAGCCACATTGAATTCAGCACTTGGTACAGACGAGGGTAAAGCGGGCGCGAGTGGCAGCGCCCGGCGCGGCTGGAGATCTACACGTGCGCTTCTTCGACTGAAGCGCCAACAGGTCTGATTTCTTGTAGCACCATTCTAGTCTTGGAAGCGTAAGTCGAGAATTTCTGCAATGCAGTTTCTACGAAAAGATGCAGCCTTGTGATCTATGTCATTTCACGATTCGAAAAGAGCTTTCATCGATGAGCACATAAGTTATTCTTTTTCCTCGATACATTGAAACAAGAGATCAGTTTTTTTTTTTAAGTAATCAAAGTGGTAAGGAAAAAGAAACTGAAACGTTCTTGGCTAGTTTGTACAATTAATTAATTAATTAAATTCTTTGGTTATGGTCGCAATAGTTGGAATATCAACTCTTTGAACAATGCTCAATTCTCTTTCAAAATTTTCATTATATCGCATTGATGACACGCGCGTCTCGATGTGTTGCACTGTCCTTGACATAAGTTAGATATTTCTCCTTTTATTGTAACTGAGTCAAGCACAGTTATTTCATAACGTAAAAAGTATTTGATTGATAAATTAACAAGGTTCACGTGTGAAAGTTCTTCTCGAAGAGATGGCAGACTGCGAACAGGCTCGTGCAAAAGAAACTCGTCGAACGGAAGTATCTGCGATACACACTAGCAAAAGTTATAACCTTAGGTAGAATTCAGTCGTAACGTAAAGTAAAGCTCATCACTCGGATATCGTCGATAACGTTCGCCTTTTCCACCATTGGTAAATGTCGCGCCGACCTGATGTTGTTAGAGCTTAACGCAAAAGCGCTATGTCGATTGTAAACTGTATTTGCGTTACCGTAGTCGCTCACAAAAAGAAAGATTCTCACAATACACACAAACGTGTTATCGCGCGAGGCTTGATTCAAATCTTCGACTTCTCCTTTCAGTATCATTTCCGCTCTCCTGCTTGTCCTGCATCTTTAACGTGTAAGAAAAAAAATCTGTTCTAAATTTCTCGCGAATCGATACTGTCCATAATCTTAGAGACGATAGAACCCATCGCAACGTAATTGCTGCGCGATGAGTGAACCCCGTCGTCATTGTACAAGTCTATACTTCGTATGATTGTATTATGATTGTCATCGGAGCGTTCTTGAAATTGATAACTGTTTCGAATAAAAATGTTAAAATTCTATCAGCCGGGACTTATCTTTATTAAGATAAGAAAGATTCTACAAATACCTTATTCACGTTAATAAATGCTAGACTTATGCTTACAATTAGATCTTGCAAGGAAAGGAGTTGCGAAGAAACGCAAGATACTATTAGAGGAAAGTAATCGTTGTAACACCATATCATTAAAAAGGAAACAACGGGACATTCTCTCTCTTTCTCTCTCTCTTTCTCTCTCTCTCTCTCTCTCTATCTTTTTCTTTTAGTCTTAACGTATACATTTATTTATAATTATTATACAGTCTCAGACTCGATATTCCGTTTCCTAATGTCTCTCGTTTATTTTCTTTCACTCATTCTCTCTCTCTCTCACTTTCATTCTCTTTCACTCTCGTCTCTCATATTCTCATAAAATATCACGTCCGTGCGCGTGAAAATGCGAATTTTTTTTTTTAAGCCAGTTTCTGCCGAATATAAATGATATAGGACGATTCTTTTCGTACATGTCCACTATATAAATCGTCTCTGTTCATTTCCACGGCACGAACGCGACCGCCCATACGCAAGAGAAATATATATATATATATGTATATTTATATATATTTTTTATTTATTTATATAAGTAGTTTATAGAATTAAAAACCGTGATCGTCGGGCCGCTCGATTCGAAACTTCGGAGTCGTACGTGCATCAAGTACAATGATATATTACACAGCCGCCTGACACACACACGCATACACACCACACACACACACACGCACACACTCTCGAGCAGTCGATCAATCCCTGCGAGAGAAAAATGCGAATCAAAGAGAATCGTGCGATTCGCGTGGGATTCTGATTCTTCTTTGCGAGTAAAGTCATAGAAAATTCATTGGAAATCCCTACAACATACTTAAATATAAAGGAGAGAACATTCTCTCTCTCTCTCTCTCTCTCTCTCTCTCTCTCTCTCTCTCTCCTCTATTCCACAATGGACACTTAATCACAACGCTTGTACATCGCGCAGAAGGATCAGAATCCCGAGATTTCGGAGACTAGAAACTCGATTGAGAGTGCAACTCGATCGTACTCGCCGATCGATTCTCTTCGACTCGCCGATCAATCGCGAACGGGAGCGGCCTGTAAAAACAAACCAAAGAAGAAAAAGAAGGCAGAGAGAACTCGACCGCGCCCGATGCTGTATCACGAGTGCCTGCAATCGCCCGAGGGGGAAAGAGTAGTCACTTAAACGAAACTTTGGCAAACGACCCTCGACACTTTGGCAGACGGAACGAAAGGTTTGCTTCATATCTCCGAAATTTCTCACGATATCGCGCCTATTGTGTTGTAACACCGTAACCCCTTTATTCGTCGCACCGCGGGAACCGCAAGATCGTTGAAACGGTTAACAAGCGCGAACGAGAGCGTAAGGTTGTTTCCTTCCACAGCTATCACAGTTGTCCCCCTTGAACGGCACCCTCGACGCGCCCGGCACCGTGCAAGCGATTTCGCCGACCTACAATATCACGCGAATAATTGATATGTCACGACACAAGAAACTTTGTCGTCGGACCCGTCACCTCTCGGCCGCGAAGCATGAGAGAATCTCCGTGCGAAAAGTTACCGAACAACTCTGAGCGATCTTGCACGTCGATGTAATATTATGTGTCGCGAAACTGTGTGCACTGAGAAAAAGATATTCGAAAATTTATTTCTTGGATGATATTTTTTTTCTAATTCCAGAGAATTTTAATTCCAGTGGATATTTCACCGAGCCTTCAGCCATCTCCGAGGATATTTACAGCTATGTGGCTTACTTCTTGGATGTGAAGTTTTTTAGTTAATCCAAATAAATTCCCTGTGTAAAGAGAATGTATACACGTATATCAAATATATATATATATATATATATATATATATATATATATATATATATATGCATCTGTGTGTATACACGTTGAAAGTTCAAATATTCATATTTAGAAAAACAAAAAAATATTAGAATATTCAGAGTTGAATTTATTTGCGGGATATAAAGTTTACTCACAGACTCTGTTTTCCATGAAGATCAAATTTTCAAGTATTTTCTCTCAGTGTGATACAATGATACCAAGCGACGTGGATACGTGTCGCTTCAGGACGGGAATCCTTCGAAGGGAATATGGTGGGCAGAAGAGCGTTTCGCGGGAAAAGACACGGAGCGTGCTCTCCTCTGTGTCTGTATTGGTTCCTTAATAATATTCTAATGGCAGTCTGCAGGGAGGTAAAAACTGTTCGTAAGCAAAGTTGACAGTCACACGCGTGACATCGTTTCCACGATATTCGCGAGGTTACGAGGTCGCAAACTGGGTCGATGGACTCCCCCGAGAGGATGCGGGGTGCACTGTGAGAAGAAAATATCCAAGAAATAAGAAATATTTATATTCGCGATTGATAACATATTTACTTGCACTAATAAAAGTACCGGTGCCTGGACGCTAACAACACCGATACTCAACTCTGGACATCCTTATTATTTTTGTCTTTAAATACGTCTTTAAAATAGTACTTCTACCTAACATCTTTTCACGTTGGAAAAAGAATCTCTTCCAAATGAGAAAATATATATTTTCCTAAAATACCTTTTTGCTTTTGATGAAAGTAATCGTTTATTTGAACAGAACAGTTTTGATTCAAGTAAATATTCAAGTAAAAATACGTGCTTATCGAATATTTTTTTATTTATTGAATATTTTTCTCGCAGCGTACGCGTGCAACATGTGTGTACGTATGTTCACGTGCATTGTGTCTTTTTCTTTCTTATCTTCGCGTGAGAAGGGAGACGACGTTCGCCGCGATTAGGTATCAGCTGCTGTTACTGCTGCCACCGACTCGAGCTGCCCAACGATTGAGATATGTTGGGCTTTCGCAGAACGCACTGATGTCTCGATCATCCTCTCGTATAAAAAGACAAATCGATCGCGCGCGCACAACAATGTAAGAAAATAAACTTTCAACTCCCCGCGCTTCATATACAATCGTGCCGAATAGGTAATACCGCCTCTCTCTCTCTCTCTCTCTCTCCTCCTTTTTCTCCTCCACCCCCTCCTCTATCTTCTCCTCTCCGCTTTTACCGTTGCCGACCTAATGAAATGCAGACTTCATCGTGTCGGTTAAAATGTTCCCCGCGAAAGCCCAGCACGCTTACCTAAGGAATTAAGCTATAAGAGTGGCGGTACAATCTGGATAATTATTTCCTCATTCCTCTCTTTATCCTCCTCCTCCTCCTCCACCTCGTCCCTTTAACCACTGTATGCTTTCGAGTTCCTTTCTGCCCTCCTTCCATCTCACTCTACTGTCAGAATCCCTTTCCTTCCCTCGCGTACATATAAATTCTCGCTGGAGCGCGACAGGCAGGACTGGACAGTACGTTTAGTTTTCTTTTTTTTCCAGTATTACACGTGCATACTCGCGACATAAATATCTACGATACAAAATACTCTCGTCTTCTTTTCCTTCTCTCTCTTTCTCTTTTTGTTTTTCTTTGTTCGTATCTTGTATATCAGAGTCCGATCCTTTAAAAAGTACGTATGTATTTTGTACCACATTTTCTCAACGATGCGTCTCGCGTTTGATATTCGGCATACTTCATCACGGCGTTGTATCTCGTGATTCACACCCGAAATACATCCTCTTTTTTACAGTTTTCTCTGTCGCCCGGCCTAGGGAAAGGGGACGTAGATAACGTAACAATGATTTCTTATCTTCTCCGCTTTCTAACACCTCGCAATTCTCATCTTCCACTCGTTGAATCTCACTCGACCGGCATTCAAGTCTCTCGCATCGTCGTCGTCCGTGCAACGTTACGGATCGTCAGCGCGCTCGTCTCCTCGATCGTCATTAGCGAGACGTCGATGACCCACGACAACAAAGTCACGCGAAATCGGGAGAATCGAAAGAGCGAACTCTTCCCTTACGTGCGCCGCCACGCAGAAGAAGGCTTCGTCGCGCATTTCGTGGAAAGAAAAAAGAAAAGGATTGCCGTGATCTCTCCTCGTGGCATTCCGCGCGTCTCTCGAGCTCGAATCGGTAAACGAAATGCGAGGGGAAACGCGGAAAGAAACGTGAGGCTCGAAAAACAACTTTTATTGTTATCTCTGCATTATTGGATCTCTCTCTCTCCGAAGGAGATGATCGTTTCCGAACGGTATCTTCATCCCACGACAATTTTTATTCGTGACGTTTCATATTTCTCACATCGAAGATTACAATGCGCCAGAATCCACCGATAAGAGTCTCGCATAAGATATTCCCGCACCGCGATGCAGTGCCTTTTAGGTAATTAATATATTATAATATATACACACATATGTATATATATATATATACACGGAAAAGAATGCTGTTGTATCAATAGGAATTACCGACATCATCGTAATTGGAATAAATCTTCTCGAATCACCAACAATACCATTGAAATTAATACTCGAGACATCGAAGGACGTGATGTATTTGTGTCAATCATATTGCTGGTTGAATCAAGAAGGTTTACCCCAATTACGGTGACGTTGGCAACTTCCGTTGACACAACAGCCCTTTTTTCCGTGTACATATTCTCTGTTTCTCTTGAAAATTATGAATAGCGTTTCGTGAATAGCGTTAAGCGGCAACGTTCCAGCGTATAGGGCGACGCTGATTGACATTTTTGTGTGCTTACGTGACAAAAAAAAATATATATATATAATAATGACACAACGAGAGCGATCACCAGGTTGGCGCAACTTTTCGCTTTCCAGACTCTAGGATCTTTGCAGTCACAAGTCGTCGCCGTGACACCTCTCGTCCAACCAATAATAATTCTAAACTGACCGATCTCGTTTCTTCCCGTTTACGGCGACAACACAGCTGGCCGGGAACGTCTTCCTGCCGATGATTCCGTCGCGGGGCACCATCAAGAGTTAGACGCGACAGACGCAGACCTGCTCGCATCGAACATCGTTAACACTCGGCCAGATTGTCGAGTCCGCTGCTGTCCTCCGACACACTCTGCTTCAGCTTTCTCTGACTGATCGTGTAGAGCCAACGTCCGCGGTCTCAGCTGACTTTGGCACATCGTGGTCGAGCAGCCGCGACAGAACGGCGTGTCCCTCTGCCTCGTTGTCGTCGTTGTCATCGTCGTTCACAGTTTCCGAGCGATTCCCGGGATGTAAGTCCTTCCTGTCGTTTGCCAGGAAATACAGCTCGCCGTGCCGCACTGAAGCGCCGGGATATTAAAGCCCCCGGCTAATTAAATAAAACACGAGTCAGCGTCGAGATTCCGTCTCTTCGGGGCTGGAATGCTCCCGTCGATAGACACTCACTCCACGTGCCGATCCAAGAACGAACTACGTTTCAGATAATCCTTGGTAATTTTGTCGAAGCAGTGAAAAAAGGGCAAGAAGAGTCGGAAGAATAATTTAAGTACCTCGCGTACCTGCTACCGTCGAGAAGCAAGATAGAAGTTAACTCGATTCTGAAGTAAAAGAGAGCAAAAATTGTAAAAGGGAGTAAGAAAAAAGAAACCAACGTAATAGAAATTAAATATATCGTAAGAGAAATTTGCATGCACATATACTATATATATATATATATATATATATAAACTTTATATTTCTAATAACATCTCTATATCTGTTATTAAAAAAAATATATATGTATATAACCGAGTAAATAGCGTACTAAAACGCACTAAAACTGTCACAAGCGTCGTTAGATGTACACAGCCAAAATAACTTTTGTATATTAATGCAATTGTCGACTAACTAAAAAAAAAACATCCTCAAAATACGGTAAAAGAAAAAAGAATAAAATAAAAGTAAAACCGCGCTACAACCGTCTAGAGAATTGGAAGATCTTATGCGACACGACGGAGTGTATACACTCTTCTCACCGGTGTGAACGCTATTGTAATCCCCTTCAACGAATTTCGTAGAACGACATATACATGTGTGTTCACATACGTGTGTAACGTATGTACGCGTTATGTGGTGTCTGCATGTATACGCGGATATAGAATATTCAAGTGGTGAGCCCCACCACAGCAGATTCTAGTCCAAGCGAACATACATAACAGATTATGTATTAATGTATATTATCTCGTAAAGTCTGTGGTAGCGTATACTGGTACACGACTGTAGTTGTGTGTCTGCCTTAACAAACGATAAAAATATGTAAAAGTGTGAGCTCTCTGTAGCGTGCGATATATATATATATATATATATATATATATATATATATATATATATATATCTCACTTGCTCTGTTTCTTATAAATCGACTAAACTCGAATTAATCACCCTGGATATATCTTGTACGCCAATTGCAGTGTATATGCGCGATTACAAGCCGCGTCCAGCAAGGTCTTTCTGCGACCCTTGCATCTTTATATCTCCCGATCACATCGATCCACAGTATAGGACAGACTCTCTCTCTCTTTCTCTCTCTCTTTCCTTCTGTATATGTATATTTACTATGATATTTATCGTCGTAAGAGCGAGCAAGCGAGTGAGTGGGTCGTCGTTTCGATTTTGCATTTCCCCTTCCCAGTCACATTCACACGCCCTCTCACGATCGCAGTTCCCGGTTCCCGGTCGGGCACGCGACTGCACGACGTCCGGAGTGAAGCCACCGCGCGATTTCGGCGCAGAGAATTCGGTGTCGTTGTGCTTGAGCGACGCCAATTTACCGGTCTGGCTCTATCACTCTCTCTTTTTCTCTCGATCAGGCCTCGAAGAGCGTGAGATCATGCGTCTCTTGTTCGCGTGTCATTATAGTTCGTTCGAGGAAATCTGATCAAGCTTTCACGTACCGTGACGAAGGGACGAACCGATCGACGACGACAACGACAACAACGACGACGACGACGACGAGGACAGCGCACGAAGGGCATTCACGTGTTCTCTCACAAACGGGTGGAGGATGACGCAAAGGCTTAGGACATCGAGGAACAGGGTAGGCGGGGCGAGCCCATCTGCGTGAGTACCCTGTCAAGCCACTGCAGCGGCCCGTTTAAATGCAGCTCGATCCAACAGGGGGTCGAGGTGACGGTCTGCCGGCGGTATTCCGCGCCCCAGCCCTTCACGAAGCTCATACGAATCGTGCACATACGCGTCAGTTGGTACACCGCCTCGAAACCCTGCGACACCGACTGCGAGAGCAACGCCGCGAACTCCTGGTTGTTGAAGATCTTCAGATTGCATCCTGCAACAAACAGACAAAGGGATAACTTTTCAAGAAGGGCGAACTTGACGTTCCTCGAGAAGACAAATGCTCGTCGGTGAGAACTCGTCAGAGAGAAGCTGACACCTGCGTGAGAGCGCAGCTGTTCTCTTCCTCTCCTTCACCTACCATCAGTACTACCACGGCTTCTGACGAGCCAGGAATGAAGGTTATTGCCTTACCTGGCGGTATCTTGCACACCGTGGCCGGGTGCCAACCGTAACGTTGATTGCAATTGGGACTCTGTACGAAGATGCTCGAGTCGGACAGACACTCCGCGAACACCTCGCCGCCGATGTAGTATAGTCTAACGCCTTTACCGATGTGTCGCCTGGTCTGCTCGACCACCGTGTTGCGGTTCACGTTGGACAGCAAGCCGAGGCAGAAGCGCTCGGAGTTGCTGGGATCGGTGAAGCCGTCCACGGTGATGCTCGGCTGCGACGCGTGAAACGTCTCGCCCACCCTCGTGTTCAGCTCGTAGTAACTAATCGAACACCTGAGCGAGACAGAGGGTGATATCGTGAGCGCGCGATTCGGTAGCCACGTGGACTCGACAATTCAGGGAACGTGCGGTTGCAGCCCTTATGGAAATTCATCCATCTAATTCCCGGCCGTTGGTATCGCGATATTAATTCGAAGACCTGGTCGTATCACGCGTCGATGGAGTTAATTCGCTTTATGGAGAAAGGATCCAACTGTTCTGCTCACGCGTTCTACGAGCCGAAACATACTTCCGTGTCTTGCTTCTGCTCATGCAACGTATTCGATCGATCGTTTAAGCCCCAAACAACCCCGTTATCTTCATTGCGCGTCATGATTTCATTACGAAAAGCGGGGACTCTCGCGATCGAAGGTGGAAGGCGCGGCCGCACCACCAGCGACGGGCAACCGTCAGGCGGATAAAATATGCAACAGCACGTTCTCACGTTGCCGCGCGTGTAGTTCGGGAAGGCGCGATATATACGACATGCATCATCCGTTAAGGTGCAACAGATTGATGTGTCCCGGCCCCACTCACCAAAACGCGGGCTCGCAATACATAACCGGCTGCGCGTCCACAGGACTGGGCGACAGGCGCGACAGAGACATGTTGTCGTTATGGTCCATGTTGTCGCCGTCCTCGCTGATGTATCCTGGCGGCGGCGTATCCGCTGGAGGATCCATGGATCCCGGCGCGGGATGAGGCGAGCCCTGCACGCTTCCCAGACTCCCGACACTCGCTGGACTCGTCGCCTGCATGCTCTGCAAACAGAAATACAATGCGCGTCGTCATTGTCACGAATCTAACGGCGTATCTGATAGCCATAAATCGCCGGCGACGCCCGCGTTGCCGCTGTCTAATCAGCTTTAATTATCAATTATCCAGCCTCCGCAGACGACGGTTTTAACTGGATTGTTAATAGAGGATGAAAATCGGGCCGAACGTGCCGTAACTGGCGTAACGAAGCCTTCACTGTGAACGAATTAATCCGAGAGATTACGCCGCTGTCAATCGATGGAGCGACGAGAGTTTACACTCTGTACGGCGAATAATGTTGTCTGCAATAAATAAAGCGATCAGGATAATCAGTAACTAACGTAAAATCAATAAAGTACAGGCGTCCTCGTAAGGAAATGGGTCAGCACATCGAGAAGAAGCCGATAAAACTCGCGGCTTGTTGAGTCACCCACCTGCATTCCTTGGTACGGATTATTTGGTTGCTGCTGTTGTTGCTGTTGCTGCTGCTGCTGTTGCGGGGACTGCTGTATGCCTTGCTGATTGTGGTGCTGGTGATTGAGCGTCGCGTGGAAGCTCGTGTTCTCCGGCACGCTGACGCTAAGCTCCTCGAGAGAGGTGTTGTAGAGGACGGCCTCGTCCCCGGCTAGGTTGTGCCGCGGCACGAGAATGGCCGGCAGAACTGCAAAGTTTCGTGCGCCGATATAATAGTCACGCGATCTAGTCTAGCGGCTGCCCGCCATGCCTACAGTTGTAACGGCCGATTAACGGCCGTCCCGCGAAAGAGCGACCCGTAATTCGAACAAACTGAATACACCGACATGCCCCGATCGTCGGGGTAGAAGCGTTCGTTTCCATCGCGGCGACGCCGAGGAGAAGGGCCGGAGGAGAAGGTGAGAGCGGTAGTAATAGTCTCGCTGGGACTCCCCGGTCGCTTCCACGGGCGACTTAAGAGACCACTAAACATCGCCGTAAAGCTCGCATAAACGACACCGAGCTGCGGGGCAAAATTTATCGCTGGATTTGCCCAGACTGAACACCGCGACGTGAATTTACTTCGAAGGAAAACGCGGAGAATGACGAGAACGACGGTATTATCACACAGGCATACGACGGATTCGTTATCCTCCTCCACCACCTGTTCGTCTGTGGCTTACCTGGCGGTTGGATTCGTTGATAATGATAAGGGTTCACGCAGACCTCGTCGCGCTTCTGCGTGAAAGCGTACTCGCAGTGCTCGATCGCCCTCAGCTCGTGATGCGACTGAAGATCCGGCCAGCGCCAAAGTCGGCAGTAAATCACGTGCGGCAGACCCTTGCCGCGAACACCCTGGACACCGTTGTCACCGACACCGCCCGGGCTAGGCCTGCAAATGCAAACGGAGATCGCATAGTTATGATATATCCTGAGAAAGGCAGCCGAGCTAGTTCCTCAGAACACGTGTGAACAGAACGACGCAATTCCGTCGTTCAGTGATTTCTCTCGGATGTCCTCGAAGGGATCTTTGAGATTTTATGCATACGAAAATGCACCGCCGACTTATTCGTCGCGCGTGTCTAATGCTAAATCCGTGGTAGTCTAATTTTGAATTTTATACTCGTCTCGTACGCGAGAGGATCGCGCGCGGTCTCGATAAAGGATCAGATTAAAGCGGCAGCACGTTTAGCGTCAAATACGATGGGAAATAGCGGAGATCCCCGTCTATCCTTTTGTAGTTCGCTGCTGTTGCGCAATTTTCATCGGCAATTTTAAGGCTTTACTTTTAAACTATCTTGTACTGTCAAGATTCAGCCTCCGCTCTTGAGAAGAGTGCTGCACTGAGAGAAAAAATAGTTGGAATAACTATAATCTCACTATATTTTATAGTTCGTTTTGGCCTCAAACATATATTTATAGTTCATCTAAACATGAAGATATAGTAGAATGAACACAGATTTATAGTCACCATCTTATCACTCTATATATATGGTAAAGCACCTGTTGGGAATATAGTTACATGTACCTATATTTGCCAAATATTCCAATTGTATTGACTAAAATAGTTAATTTCTCTTACCATTCAATATTTGCCACCTTACCATATTTTTTATTTCAAATAATTATAATTCTTGGTAAAAATTTTACACGGGTCAGTTATACTATACTTATATTGTAAATATTACAAATATTATGGTAACATTTACTATAAAAATTATATTCCTAACTATAATATTTCTACTATGTCATTATAGTTCCAAATATTATACATTTTTCTCTCAGTGTGGGTACCGACATAATGTAGCTTCGTAATTTATACTGTTTAATTATATCTATTTAATTATATGGAACTGCAAATGCTCATACAGAGTGAAAATACAAATGAACGGCGGAGTACCTCATGTTTAAAAAAAAAATGAAAAAATTCTTTATCTACTAATCTTTGAACTTGGTTAGATTGGCGTGCAAATATATGGATATTTAATTGAAATGCGAGTGAGTTTGAAACGATTTTAATGTACTAAGTACGGGGAGTTATATAAAGAAAATTATATTAGAATGAATTCGTAAATATTGCGTGAGTGAAACAAGGCAGAAAAGCAAGATTTAGGACGCCAAATCTTTGAGAAGATCAAAGAGAAACGGTTCTCTCTCTCTCCCTCTCTCCCTTTCTCTCTCTCTCTCTCTCTCTCTGTTCCTGCTGGCTTCCCTTCTTTCCTCCCTCCCTTCTTCCCTTACTTCCGTCGGAAACGCCGACGAAATGTGCATAGGAAATAATTTCCGATTGTGCATAGGAAATAATTATGGCATCATAAGAAACGGATAATTAGAGTAGTGTAGGTAATGCAGGCAAGCTTAAATTATGGTAATGCAGAGGAAACTGTCGATAGAGGAAATGTATGTCTCTCTTTCTCATAAATTGAAGGGTAGATCTTCCGCTTTCGTCTTCTCTTTCGGCAAGGCGCATAAATACGGCAAACGTGATGATGAATACAGGCAGAGAACGTCGCATCTTTCAACGCAGAACTCAAGCTACCAGCAACTACCGGCCGTGATTGGCGACACCTGCTGACATTCGATCCTGAGCTAACGATCTCGGCGAGCGGCTTTATGCCGCGAATCGAATTAACTGCCGGCGAGAACGTAACCGATGCGTAACTCGCGATGCGTGCTGATGGTGTCGCGAGGAGACCGATTATATCAGTTCAACTGCGATTGGAGAACCGGCACCTCTCCGTTTCTCTCTTTCCTGTCGTCTCCGCTCAATCTCCGGCTCAACTCTCCCTTTCTCTCGCTCTCCGTGCTTATTACATATTTAACCGCGGACATCGATAATGAAAAAAAGCAGCGCTGAAATATTAAGATCACGTTATTACGAAGCCGCTCGTGCCCGGACGCGATGCGATTCCGCGACTACATCGTCGTCGTCGTCATCGTCATAGTCGCCTTCGTCTTTTACTGCACGAGCTCTTGCCGGAGGAGAGCCTTCGCGCAAGCTCTCCGTCTATTTAATCCCCGCGATTGTCCTCATCTCATGCGTCTCTCTACGTTCTCTCTATTCAGGGCTGGGTTTACCGTTACGGGAGCCACGGGGAATAATACGGTGCGCGTCGCGTAATCCGCTGGCATCCGTCAGTATCGGGAAATCCACGTATTATTTTTATATCGCAAAAATAAGCCGCGATACCACCTCCTCCTCCTCCCGTCGTCTTTCACGATCTTCGTGGATTGATCGATCGAGGCTCTCGTGATCGCGCAATGACAATTCTTCTTCCTCTTCTGTAGCAATGATCTGGAACGGGGTGTTCCTTGAATCAATCAAGGTTAAGGAATAAAACCACTTTAGCGTCCGAAAATTAAGCGTATTTTTGAGAATTTTTTGTGGGTAAACAAAGAAATGAATCGAAAATCCGTTTGGATGACTTTATTGTACATGTTTTAAAATGTGTATTTAAATTTTTATGTTAACATATATTACAAAATGGCGGTGCTAGAGCCTTGTCAACATGAGCGTGTTTTCCTAGCGTCGCCACTTTGTAATATATGTTAATAAAATTTTAAATACACACTTTAAAACATGTACAATAAAGCCTGCCAAACTAATTTTCGATACATTTCTTTGTTTGCCTACAAAAAATTCCCCAAAAATACGCTTAATTTTCGGACGCTGAAGTGGTTTTACCCCTTAAACGCAATTGCATTTGAATCTCACACGGAAAAGAAAAGAAAAGTAGCTAACGTAGCAAATTTGCTACAGATGGCTAACTAAACATGATTTACTGCCAGCTACTTTTTTTATTATAGGAGCAGATTTTCTTGTTATCATAGCAAGGAAATTGACTCCAGCAAAGAAAAAGTTGCTAATACAGCAAATTATGTTTAGTCGTCCATATGTAGCAGATCTTTTTTCCGTGTAGAAACGGGCATGAGAAGCTTGAGCCTCTTGACTCCCCCGGCTCCGCCCGCACCGTCTGTCGCGGGTCTGTCTGTGTCGCGCGCGCACCGGAAGTGACGGGTTGTTTACGAAGAAAGAGAATCCGCGCTGGAATTCACCGAGTAAGATGGCTCCCCCGGCGGGCTCGCGAATTTCGCGAACGGCGAGTAAATCGTGCACTCCCCCGCCCCACGTTTGCCCGCGGAGAATAAAAGCGTCAGACAGCTCCGTAATAGTCCACCATTCGGCTTGTCGGTATTATCCGCCGCGTCGTCGATTCCGTACGTTGAACACGGAAAAAAGAGATTTGCTAATATACGGACAACTAAAAATATTAACTGCAGGAGCAAATTTTCTTGCTTTCATAGCAAAGTTATTTTGTTGTGATAGCTAAAAGATTTGCTAATATATATATATATATATATATATATATATATATATATATATATATATATAACTTTATTATAAAAGCAAGAAAATTTGCTTCTGCAAGTTAATATTTTTAGTTGTCCATATATTAGCAAACCTTTTTTTCCGTGCATCAGTACCTTAAGGGTGACAATGTAATCAATGCTGCGTGATAATTTAGAAATGCGAAAGAGAGAAAGATAGCTCCAGTAAGCTAGAAATCATTAATATAACATTACTACAATGATATTCTGTAATACTGTCAAATATATAATGTTTAATATTGTATCGAACATCATTATAAACATACTTGGACCGCGATTTGGAAGTTTCAATAATATTGAAATAGGGTTGTCATAACGTTTTAATCGAAATCAGAAATATTTTTAAGATGTTGCATTGATCTCAAACAAATGTTAAAGTAACATTTGAAAAATATATTTTTTGTAATGTTTTTGAGACGTTTAAACAACATTCAGAAAAATCATATTACAAAAACATGTGAAAAATATAAATACAATATTATTAAAAAATGTCCAAACAATGCACACGAAGTCAACGTTTCTAAACGTTAATTTAATGTTCCTTGCTTACTGGGAGAGCCTTCGTCGAACATTCAACATCGGTACGCAAAGATTATCGATTACCGACCATCGATTATTGATTATCGACTATCGATTACCCCACATCTGAGACGTCGAGATCTCTCGATCTCAACGCGTCTGTGAATTCGCTTGTGACAAGGCATGTCTTTTTTCGCGCCTTGATAAATCTGATAAACTGAAATTAGAACTCTACCCAGTAAGCAAGGAATCTTAAATTAATGTTTAGAAACGTTGACTTCATGTGCATTGTTTGGACATTTTTTAATAATATTGCATTTATATTTTTCACATCTTATTTTGTGATGTGATTTTTCTGAATGTTGTTTAAACGTTTTAAAAAAATAAATTTTTTGAATGTTACATTAATATTTATTTGAGATCAATGCAACATCTTAAAAATATTTCTGCCGATTAAAATGTTATGATAACCTTATTTCAACATTATTGAAACTTCCAAGTCGCGGTCAAAGTATGTTCATAATGATGTTTGATACAATATTAAACATTACATATATGACAATATTACAGGTTCTTTAATATCATTGTAGCAACGTTATATTAATGATTTTTTGCTTACTGGGTGTACAGCTAGTTTCATCATTTAATCAAGTGACATTGTGGAATATCGCCTGCTCTAGCAATATTAAGGCTTAATTGGTCCTTTCGACGTTTTATCAGAAGTGTGAACATCACAATTTGAATTAGATTCAAACTAGCATACACTGAGAGGAAAAACAATGGTCGATCTAATCAAAATTAGTTATATTTGGCCTCAACTATATTTTTCGGTTGTTCTAACGTGAAAATGATGCACAGAGAAAACGGTATAATTAGTCACACATTCACACGTCAGTCTGATTGTATCAACCGAATTCAATATTGAATCTGTAATAATAATATGCACATATAAGATTATTCACTAACATTGTAACAGAATTTTGATAAAAATTTCTTAATCATAATTGACAGAATTATTTCTCTATATGATTATAGTTAAAATATCAAACATTATTTCTTTCAGTGTACATACCAACTGCCGATCATTGCGTCATCTCATAATGTACTTTTAACTAGTCACAGGGACTATTACTAACAAACAATATATTCGATTGCGAGAGATAACCTAAGGACGATACATGTCGGCTCGAACAGCGAATACATTTTAATGTATATACGCGCACAAGCGGGAAAAGTTACCGGGACATTACGTGTCCGGGATATAAGTCTGAACGGTACAAATGGAGGTAATGACAGGTTGCGGCGCGGTTGCGGAGGAGACCACGCTCTCGAAGCGGATAATCACAGTGTTCTTCTGCCATGGAATTAAACGGTATTTAATTGCAAAATTTTCCCGCGCGAGCGTCCGAGATTGCCATTCGCTCGCTCGTTTGTTTCACTCGACCGGGGTAAATTCGCGAAATCCGGCTAACAAAATGAACACTACCGACATAACCAGAGCGATTTTGAGTCACACCTATCCTTTTCCTTTCAGTTTTTCATGAGAAAAATGTGGTAATATTTTTCTCTGTGTTTCTTCTTACAAAAGAGCAACCTAAACCCTTTGATTTTGATACACTTTTGTGAGTATGTAGAGTAAATCAATAAGATGTATATATCAGTACATCAGTGGAATAACGGTATATTCCATTTGTTTATCGCTATTTAACCCATTAACACTCAAATGTGCTTAAATTTTACGTTGATTTGCGCCATTTATTTTATTACGGAAATGAGGTCTGTTGTTTATAAAGAGTTCCTATTGTTTTACTATGTAATTACTATGTAAATTACTATATAATTTTGCAATATTGACCCTAAAACATTTTTGGATAACCAAATATAAACGAAAATTCGAATTAAACGCTTCAAATCGACCGCCATGTTTGTTGAAAAAAATACCCAAGGCATATTTTTTAAGTTAAAGTGTCGGGAACACGTTTTAGACATTTTCCCGAGCGATACTAACATGTTTTTATGGATAAAATAGCAGAAGAAAAAATTAGCCTTAAAAACATGCATTTTTAAAATTTTATTTAACAAAAATTTTGCATAAACTGCGATTTTTTTTAAATTTTCTCAACGCTATTCGATAGAGCGACATCAAAATTGGTAGGAATGGTACTCTTTATAAACAATAGACCTCATTTTCGTAGTAAAATAAATAGCTCAAATCAACGTAAATTTTCAGCACATTTGGGGCTAAAAGTATGATTTACATTTTCAAAGTAAAAAGGACGACTTTTTCGTATATTACTCTTAAATTAAAGAGATAGAAAAAAATGTTTCGAATAAAAGTTTAATGGTAAGTTAAGTGCTGTAAATTGACACAAATATAAATAAAACAAATTTACCATTAAACTTTTATTCGAAAAATTTTTTATCTCTTTTAATTTAAGAGTAATACACGAAAAAGTGGAATCGTCCTTTTTACTTTGAGAGTGTAAATCGTACCTTTAAATAGCGATAAGGCACAAATGGAATATATTCATGTTATGTCATTCAGGTTATTCATGTACTGATCGACTCTACATATTCACAAAAGTGTGTTAAAAGCAGAGAGTTCGGGATCGCGATGTTCCCTTGTTAATCCGCCTATTCTAAAGAGTGCCAAAGCTAGAAGAAACGTTCTCTCATAACCTATATAGAGGAAAATGAATGTTACCTCGTTTTTCCTCTTAGAAGACTGAATAGAATATGTGCGAATCAAAATCGCTCTGTTCGTGTCGGTATTGTAAGTAGCGACAAAGTAATGCGGCGCGCTCGGTGAACCAGTCTGCTGGTTCTGTAACTTCTAATGACACTGTCGTTAAGAGTTACAGAAGCAATAGGCGGGATTCGCAAGCATCACAAAGCGGAAAATTCGCGGACACTCCGTACATGAGGTCGCCAAAGTAGGTGAGGAAGAATCGTCTGAGAGATTACGCTTACAAAATCTGCGATAAGGCTGGATGTGTAACGTTTCCGTCGATGCATATGCAATGCACGAGGCACGTTACGACAGCCTTGAGCTCGTCTCGCATTTATTTGCGTGAGGCTAACGTCGCCTCTCGATCGTTCTTTCTTTCTCTGTCTGTCTCTGTCTCTTTTACGCGCGCGCGCGTTTTTCATTGCCTTCGCGTTTACTCACAATTACGCTCTTGCATGACATGGCACTTCGTTATGTAATAATTTAGAGACGCTGGCGCACGCGCGAGCTTCACGCACTGCCTTCTTGACCGATCGCTTCTTCGCGTCTTACTCGTCGATACAATCGCGGCAAATCAATGGACTTGTGCGCCAAATTCTTTCGCGAGGCGAAGTGAACGACAGTCTCTCGCAGATTTCGGCGCGAGGATTTATGGCTCTGAAAACTGAAGGCAAGGGCCTTCGCGTGCCCTTGTCCTTCTTAAGGCAAAAAATGAGTCGAAAAAAAGAAGAAAATTTCATAGAAAGACTGCAAACACGGTTGAGGGTTAAGGAGCTCGTCATTAAACCGCTTGGCCGACTCGACGATATAATAGTGCTATTTCTTCGCTATCAAATCTGGCTACAACCAGTCTAACCGCGATTTAATCGCCGACGAGATCGATACACTTTATTTTCGAGTCCATCAACAGAAAAACGCATGACTATAAATAGAGAGTTTTTACCGCTCTGCGTATCTACGCTCCTACAGATTACCAATTCGTCATCCGTCGCCCGTGACAATCGCGAGACGGTGGCTACGTTCAACAGAGAACGCTGCTTCGCAACTGCTGTAAAATTCGCGAATCTGATTGGCACATGCTCCTCTAGATTAGTCCGAGATTAAGGGCATACAGCAATCAGATGCACAAATTTTTTTACAACAGTTGCGAGGCAGCTTTCTCTGCTGAGTATCGATCCTGTATCTTCCTCCCATCGTGAACTCGTAAAAAGTGAAAAGTTCGAAATTTTCACGTTTCCATTACTCGAGAAATTACATGATCGTTAACCCCTTGACTGTGTGGCGAAAATGAGACTTCCGTATCACAAGTGTTTGAAAAAGTTTTTTTACATTTTCGCTACGATTTTAGTATTAAGGTTTTCAAGATCGCTGAATCCAAATGTAATATCAGAATTTCAAAATTCAAAATCGCGGATCCAATATAGCGAATCAAAATTAAAAAAAAATACGTCGACAATCATCCGCGCGCTATTTCCGACAGGAAATCGGGAATCGTCATAACAATCCAACTATTTTTTCAAAATTTTATTCACCGTATTGAATCCGTTATTTTGAATTTTAAAATTCAGATATCACATTTGTATTCAGCAATATACATTTGTATTGACCTCAAAAACCTTAGTACAATCATTTTTATAAAAATCCAATTATTTTTCCAACTTTTGATCCGCCATATTGGATCTGCCATTTTGAATTTTGAAATTCAGATATCATATTTGTATTTAGCGATCTCGAAAACTTTAGTACAATTATTTTTATAAAAATCCAATTATTTTTCCAACTTTTGATCCGCCATATTGGATCTGCCATTTTGAATTTTAAAATTCAGATATCATATTTGTATTTAGCGATCTCGAAAACCTTAGTACAATTATTTTTATAAAAATCCAATTATTTTTCCAACTTTTGATCCGCCATATTGGATCTGCCATTTTGAATTTTAAAATTCAGATATCATATTTGTATTTAGCGATCTCGAAAACCTTAGTACAATTATTTTTATAAAAATCCAATTATTTTTCCAACTTTTGATCCGCCATATTGGATCTGCCATTTTGAATTTTAAAATTCAGATATCATATTTGTATTTAGCGATCTCGAAAACCTTAGTACAATTATTTTTATAAAAATCCAATTATTTTTCCAACTTTTGATCCGCCATATTGGATCTGCCATTTTGAATTTTAAAATTCAGATATCATATTTGTATTTAGCGATCTCGAAAACCTTAGTACAATTATTTTTATAAAAATCCAATTATTTTTCCAACTTTTGATCCGCCATATTGGATCTGCCATTTTGAATTTGAAGATTCTGATATTATATTCGGATTCAGAGACTTCAAAAACTGTAAGATACCAAGCTTCATACAAATCGCAAAAGGATAAATCGGTTTTTTTAAAGATGTATATTACACATACTCTCTCTCTCTCTCTCTCTCTCTCTCTCTCTCTCTCTCTCTCTCTCTCTCTCTTCCTCTCTGTTTCTCTCTCGCCCACTTTGTCTCACTGTTCGTCTTTCCGCGGCTCTCGCATACCGCGCGTCTGTCTTTCGTTGTCCGTCCCTCTCTCTTTCGGCGTTCCTGACTCAAATCCGCGGACGGTACTCCGGGATTTCAACAGTTGCGATAACTACCTGGATTTCTCTTGTACGGCACTGACGGCTCAATCGTTTCATTGTAATTACTTGCTCGTTAGTGCGGCGCCGGTGTACGCGAGCGCGC